AAACATTAAATTCAAACAACTTAACTATAATATGAAATTAAAGGCAGTATTTATTATACGTAAAAAAATATTTWAAAAACTTACCCAGATATTGGTGCCATTTTAAGTACTAATGCACGACTCAAACAAAATCCAGCACCTCCAGTAGCAAACCAAAATGTAGTTTTCTAAAACAAAATCACAACTAAATTTTAAAAAAAGTTACAGACATCACCACGTATATTTAGGCACGAACTTTATTAATAAATAAAAATTAAAAAGATATAACAAGGGATAAATTATTATTTATACATTCAACAACCCTAAAAACTAGCTTTACTCAGCAAAATCTCCTATATAGTAGGCTTCGAATGTACTACGCAATAATTTTCATCAATGGGAAACATTTGATTTTTACTTTAGTCAAGTAGGTAACATATCCACTTAATACTGATATGAACACGGTTTTGTATTCATCATCGAAGAAATGAAAAAATAAAAACTAAGAACAACTTTCAAAAAATAATTGTCTCTTCACTRTTATGAAGTAAACAATAATCAAAAATAAATTTTATGATAATTTATTTATTTAATGTTTTATATTTTAAAGGTTTTAAGTTTTAACAACGTATTCATCAATATTTGGATAATTTATTTTACATAAATTACAAATAGATTTTTTCAAGCAAAAATGTCATAAAAGTTATTCTGTCGCCTTACATATTGACAAAATTATAATGAATACATACAGAATATTCCATGACATTGTAAAAGATTTTTTGTCGTGGAAGTTTTAAGTTTTAAAAATATTTCATCAACTTTAAGATACTCTATACCTTAAAACAATTATTTGAGCCAAATKAATAGATATAAGTACCTAATTGTATTATTAAATTATTGTAAACTTACTTGGGATTTGGCGCGAATTTGTAATGGTTTTGGAGTGCTAGTACGTCCCAAATACCAATCTCCAATTGGATTATACATTTTCAATAACTCGTCTAAMGCCGGAACATTAACATAGTTGTCGTCATCTACGTGACAAAACCACCTTAAATCAATAATAAAATATATATAGTACAAAAGTAAAACACAATATAACTATGTTATACACGAGTAATATTTAAATAGCGTAGTGGAGTAAAATTTTTAATCAAACAGCGAAAGRCTCTAAAATACTGTTACAGCAGCAACGTGCCCTACTACATTTCGTATCTTTTTATTTCTAATGCAAATATTATTTAAAGTTGTGTGTGTGTGTAAATTACATAACTTCAAAACAACATAAATATCGTTAATATTCAAAGATAATTTWAAGGCGAAGTGTTTAGAAATTTAGAAACATAAAATACATATAATATGTATATATATATATAATTATAATTATATTTATAATATATAATTTACTATTATATATATTATATATAATAGTAAATTAGTATATAACATAACAAACTTTAAATTAAATATACATTTGTCGTTTTTARTGTGAGCAAAATTATGTATACCATGTAACTACAATACCATTTCATGAATTTTAAACTAAATACCAAAGACATATTTAACAAGATCGATTTAAATAGTTGTATAGATACTAACTTTTTTTTCGTTTCAAGGAACACGTCCAATTCGACAGACATTTTACAGCACAGCGCACGTCTAAAAATCAAATTAAAACTAGCGTCAAATAAAGTCGTAAAGAAAAAGATTTTAATTTAAAAACAATTATTTATTGATATCCCACTGCGATTTATTAATAATATTACATGCATATGTATTACTTGCCTACTATGAGTGG